TTTCTAGCTTCGTCTTCAATCGAAACTACTGTTCCGTGTCAAACAAGAAGTTTTCGACTTCTTTTGTATCACGTGCCCCTCCCTAGTTACACGGTTCAGGAATTCTGAGTCTAGGAGCATACTTAGGTACGAGAGCTTGCCCATTGCCCGCCGCACGTTGGAGTACTCGTAATTGAGCTCTCAACGCTTCTATTTCATCTTGCAGATTAGGAATGATTCCAGCAGCTTCAGTCATTGTTGCGCAAGCCCTTTGGCTTTCATTCGGTTGGATGTGTAATCCACGAATCTCGGATTCTGCCATCTCAACTTTTTCTTCGAGACCGTCCAAAGCATAGCACAACCTAGTAGTTGTCTCATCAAGCGCATCCACGCACTGTTTAGTAGTACTCTTCTTTTGAGGCTCTCCCATTTCAGTGGTGTGGGATGTAATTGGATCCGTAGCTTTCTTATCGAGGGTCGTGAGCCGCAGTTCTGATACCAACTTTCACGGGGTGCCTTTCTTCTCGGCACAGAAAGGGACACCGTGCGGCAGTAGTCTGCTCCGCTAAACTACCTTCCGCCTTTTCTCGGTCGTGTCCGAACGAAAGAAAATTTGATTACAATTTTGTAGAAAGCTTACAACAGAGGATTTGAATACATTGAAAGTAAATTGAATGTTGATTGATGAAAACTGAACATTACAATTGATGAAAGAAGAAAATTACAATTGCTGGTGCAGGGGGTGGACACCAGTGAGATTGAAAGATTTTTGAATGATTAATACCCCCTATAATAGCATTTGGAACAAAAACCTAAGTGGCAGGAGTAGACGTTTAAAAGACGAGGAATCATACTAAAAGTTTACTAATATCAGAGCTATTTTACAACTGAAATAACTATTATAATGAAAAGAAAATTACAACTCAAACTTGAAGTAATATTTACAATGTGAGGTCGAAGTTGGACAAACTGCGACTGCGATAGTGTCAAGGGGCTAATTAAAACTGCGGTCCTTGACACCTAGTCTTATTTGGGATCTAGTGTCCATTGGATCATACACTCAGGCTCATTTGAATTGAGATTCAGTGAGTTGGGCTTGTAGATTTTTCAAGTTGGGTTAAAGTTTATTTGAGATATTCACAAAATAAAAACCTAAAAAGGCACCAAGTATGTGACTCTTCTTTCAGAACTTAACACACTACATCTATCAAGAACAATTTGAAGAAAATAGAAATCTTTATTCGTACATTATAGCATAAGTAACTTGGAATAGAAAAATTGTAACTTTCAATAAGGTGATGAAGCCACCACGTTCACATCCTCAACTGATGAGGTCATTCTAGTGCCAGTCAAAATCGGGTCAATTTTTATTGCGATTGCTCGGATGCTGCCATTTTCAGCTTTATCTCTGCTATCATGCTGCAGCCCTCATCGCTCATCTGTCTCCCGTAGCTAAATTATACTTTTCTTGCTACTTGACAATCAAGGAACCAAGGAAAATAATCGATTGAAACCCTAATTTAGATTTATAAATCAAATGCAATTTAGATCGATAACTAGACCAGGGGATGCATCAGTTTCATAAAGTATGGAATTTGACAAGATTTTCAATCTAAAGGGAGTAGATAAGAAGATGACACGTGTAACTTATTAAAAGAAATGATGTCTAAACGAGTATATCCACGGAAAATTGGATAAGTGCAAGGGAGGGAATAAATTAAGGATGTGATATCTTGTTTGCACCAAGCACAGGTTAGACATGTTTTCTTGCAAGTGAGAAAGATTCAGTTCACTAAATAAGAGGAATCATGTGCGTAAAAAAAGAAATCAGCTAAAACTTAACACTACAAGTATATTTTAAAAATTACTCGAAAAATTAGTATTAAAAATAATAGAGCATTAATTGAACTCATAGCCATAAATAATAAACTCTTCAAATAGCAATTGGACCAAAGGAATGTAAAGCATCACGAACCTATGTTTTATCAATACACTGTACTCCGTTATGTCAAATATTCCGTTAAAAAAATAATGGATTTCAATTGAGTAAACAAATGAAAGAAACAGAAAGAATCGTTTGCAACAAATTGTAAAGATGAGTGATTAATATGGAATTTCTCTATAAATTGAGTAGTATATTTAACCCTCTATACTTTTGTGTCATTCTTATTGTGTTTTGCAATTATGGTGCGTTTGATTGCAAATATAAAATTTTTATTGAAAGAAAATAAATTTTAGATAATTGAATTGCCTATAACTTATTTGTATGAAAATTATTAATTAAATATGTTTGATTAATTTAGTTTTCAATTTAGAAAATATTATACTTTTTCATTTTTTATTGGCGGGCAAATAAAAAAGAGTGTATAGATAAGAGAGAGAAACGAAATATTCAGTCAAGGTTTTTAATGACTTTTTGAGATCTAAAAAGTTTAGAGATATTCAATTGAGACTTTTTGAAGTTCTCTAAGGTTCCGTTTGATTGCAAAAATGAAATTGAATTGAATTGAAAACGAATTATAGGGAATTGAATTGCATAGAAATTATTTTCTTGAGAATTGTAAATTATTATGTTTGATTGGTATAATTTTTCACGTGAAAAATATTGAAATAAAAGTATTTTTTGGTGTTCGTTTGACTTTATTTTACATGAAAATCAATTAAAGGAATAAATTTATTGGTATTGGGGATAGAATTTGTTTCTATTGTCAAAACAAACAAAAAATTCAAAAAAAAAATATTTATCTTTTGTTGTTCGTTTAGCTCTGTTTTATATGAAAATTGTCATTTAAAGGAAAATATTTTTTTACAATTGGAATAGAATTTAAAAAAAAATTAAAAAAGAAAAAAGGAACCTGGAAAACAAATTCTCATCTAACCTATAGGAATTAGAATTCCTTAAAAAGTTAGAAATCAGGCGCGTGAGAGGAGGGGTTGGAAAATCATTTACAGGGAAAAACTTTGCCATCAAACATTGTTAAAGTAAGAAAGTGAAATTCTATTTCCATTTCCCATTGATTTTCCATGCTATCAAACAGGGCATAAAAGTATTGATATATTCAATTGAGACTTTTAGTGCTTTCAAGAAATCTCTAAAAATTACGGTGTATTTAATTAAAACTTTTTAGAAATTTCTATTAGTTTTGAGATATTTCTGAAGTATTAACTATTAAGCAGAAAGTACTCATATAAAATTTTAAAATTTGTTTATTATTAATCACGAGATTTTGGGGTACTTTCAAAAATATATATATATATATATATAGAAAAAATTAAATTAGATTCTTGTAACTTTTTTTTGTGAAAATGTCTCTTTTTTTATTAAATTATAAAATTTTATATGAAAATTTTATAATTAAATTTGAATAAACTGATTTTTATTTATATTTAAAAGCATATTATATTAATAATATTGAATATTAAATTTATTGTTTATTATATATATAAAGGAAAATAATTATTATTTTATTTAATTAAGGTCTTAAATTTTTATTAAGAGATCCACAAAGTCCATAGAAATCATCATTAAAAAAAAAAGTCTATCAAAGTTTTCAAAAGTCCCAATTGAATACACTCCTAAAAAAGTCAGCCCTCCTTAAAGAAATATTTTCCTTATTTTTTAGAAAAATATGATCAGATGACCAAAAGTTGAAAAATAGACACAAAAAGTAAAAATTTGAATGGAAAAATGACATTTTCAAAATAAAGTTAATCAAACGCACTCTTAAATAAATTGTAGATGATATAATTAACTTTCCTAATTGAATCCAATAAAAAAGCCTTCGTTGGGGCCTAGATTCTTATCGATGGAAGACTCCCGTGAAGTGTGAACCCTTCTAATTAGGATATTTTCTGTGTCTTTGTATGTGTCTTTGCTCAAGAGTCAAGCCCCAAGATCCAAAGAATTTTACAAAGAATGCATTTTTATTTAGCTAATTGGAAGCTTGTTTGTTTATAAACAATATTTTTGTCGCTATAATATTTGGTACTATCTAATCCTCTTTAAAGCTGCATGTCAAATATGTTCTGATTATTAAAAAAAAAAAAATCATGTGGAATGAAAAGGAGACCATAGATGTTGGGAAGATTAGCATTTCTGATCTAATTAGAAAATCTGATTCCAAATCTTCACAGCCCTATTAACATACAATTAATAAGGCCGAATTAAGTTACAAACAGGACTGTGATCTTCTTTAGAAGTTTATCTTTGATCTGCATATCGCTCTTCTTTTCTGCCATTCTTCATGAATCCACCCGCATTATTGCCAAAGCATGCATAATTTCAAAAGAAAATAAAAGGGATTATTTTAAAGAAAAATTAAAATATTGGAACAGAAAAATTATTTGAAATATTATTTTTTCTCCAATGCTAAAACTATAAAACTTTAAACTCAAAAAAAATAGCAAGCACAGAATTTGTATAGAAGGAAAATAAGTTCTATGCAATTGAAAAAGGTACAAAGCTACAAGTACTAACAGATTAAAAACAAGGGACACTTGTTCCCCAGTGATTGATAGCTACCAAAAAGAGTCCACCTGTACGTGTAGTGCAGTTCTTAAAAAAGAGAAGGTAGACGTGAGAGAGAGAAAGAGAATTGCATCGAAAATAAAAACGTACTCCTCTCTTTAAAAAAAACATAATCACATGATCAACTTTTGGAAAATATTTTTAAGAAAAAAAGTCAATCAAACACCCAAAAATAGGAATGTGAGTGAAAAAATGACATTTTTCATGAAACATAAAATCAATCGAAAGCACAAAAAAAGAAAAAAGGAAAAAAGAATCCAATTAGAATCAGTAGTACCAGTAACCTAATTCAATGGTCATTGTTCTAGCAAATGCTATAAGCAGACAATGGTCTGGTAAATATATATATATTTTTTGGCATATAACTAAAGATCTAAATACCATGAAGAAAATAAAAAAGTGACTTACTTTTTGAATTACAATCCCGGGGATCTTCAAAGAGAGAGAGTGAAAGTTGCCTGTGAGCAACACCAATGTCAAAAAGTATGAGACCTCAAGTGGGATCATTTACAATGATTTCTTTGACCGGAAGCCATAGAAAAAACTCTTCTTGTGAAAGCCCTTCAACTCCAGTAAGATTGCCATATGTAAGATTTGCCCTCACAACCCTATCATACAAAGCCATGGTATCGAATTTGGTCAAGCATGGCCATTCAAGAAACACTTCAAGAAATCCAGATTCTGAAACGGTGTAGGACTTTATGTCCTTCGGGTAGAGGCCTGCTGGTAACCCTCTGTATATGAGGAGGTCATGGATGGAGGAGTGAGAAAGAGGAAGAGAGAGAAAGACTGAAAGTAAAAGAGTGAGGAAGAAATTTTGAATTGAAGCCATGAATAATGTGTAATGGTAAAAGGATTTTGAGAGTGGAAAGGGTTCAAGGAGGAATGTGGAGGGAGTTTTAGGGTTGTTTTACTCTGTTGCCCTGGAAAATATGACTGGTTTGAATTTTTGGAATACTTTAGTTAAATTTGATCATTCCACAAGACCAAACCACAGCATTCTTGATGTCGGTTGAGTGAAGAGGACGACAGTAAATTGTACCTTTTATGTCACCGAACTTATGTTAATTTATAAAAGTAAATCACAAAAAGTGATAAAAACTAAATAAAAAACAATGGTTTGAGGTCCTAAGTGGTAGAATACAATTAGGCCAACGAGCAGAAAAGGTCGACCGATAGCAACTTTCACATTTTTGAATTTGAAAAATGAAAAATTCCCTGAGTTAAATGTTTCAATGACCACCGAACTTTGCATCACGTCACGACTTACTCACCGAACTTTTAAAGTTATCCCATTAGCCATTGAACTTTAATCCGTTAGTCTCCATTACTCACCGGATGGATGGTGTTTCAAAAGATGCTGACGTGACAAACGGAAAAATGAGCTGGCTAGTTAACTCCGCCCAAGTTGTAAGTGGAGTGCCAGCTCCATGTCATCACCAAACACAACTTATCCCCTCTAATTCAATGAAATGTGACTTCACCAATTAAAACCCAAAACCCAGACATGAAAACCAGAACTCTCAAATTGAAGCTCCATCCCCAAATCCCCAAACCCAAATCGAAGCAGCAGTGTATTATGAAATTTATCAGCGGGTGGTTGATAGGTTACACCAAAAGGATTGTTTTACGTATAACTTGATGATTGATGGTTTTGTAAAATGTAGCTCGTGAATTGTTTGACTTGATGCCCTTAGCGATGAAAATTTTAATCACTTGGAGTACTCTGATCAGTGGCTATTTGAAATTGGAGAATGGGTTTGATGTTGCTTCTGATTTTTTAAGAAAATGCCGCTGGGTTGGGAGGGGGGGACGGGACTTGATTTCTTGGAATTTGATGATCGATTGTTGTGTAAAGAATGGGAATTTTATGTCTTTGTGCTGGAATACATGTGATCAAAGTCAGATTGAGAATGTTGATTCCAAAAAATGGTCAGGTTTTCCTTTGGCCAACTTGACATTATCCCGCAAACGGAGTTAAATGGACTACATGTTTGCATGCCTGGGTGCGTGTTTGCGATAGAAATTCCCAAGTTTCTGGTGCATATGTCTGTGTTTTAGATTAACAACGGCAGTTCACTAAAGCTGAAATTAATGCAGAAATTAACAACAGTAGTTATCAACTAAGCTGCCCCCACCTAAATTCTAATTACAATTTCAGTCAACAAAAGCATCTGTTCATTGAGATTGCATTCAACACCCAACAAGATACATATAAAAAGGTAATTGCAAATGAACAATATTAATGAAATAGAGCTACCAATTGCAAAATTCTAGTACATAGCATGAAATAGAGCTGCCAATTGCAAATGAACACCATGATGTTTGTTAGCTTCTCTACTCTTTGTTCTTCACAACACTAGAACTAGCCTGGAATTTTATCCTTCCTCGACCGGCTATTTGTTCAAATAATTGTAATCTATTTGGCTTACGGTCCATAAATGAGAATGGTTACTGTGGTGCAGATACTTCAGGTAACACACCAGCTGGAGCCAATGACATTGGGCTGGTCGATCGACTGGGCACAATGTAGAATGGATACTGCCGCTCACTTATATGATGGGGGGGACTATACTCACTCAACTTCAAAATTGATTACACTGAACAAATTCATAGCATAGCTAAATTCATTGCTTATCAAACATATCATCAAACATATCATGATCGATTTAAATTTCCCTTTATTCTGAAATGCCATCGTCATGGATTTATTGCGTCATCTCTTTCAAATCTGAACCATTTCCAGTTAGCATACAGAGTTTCTTCATTTTTAAAAGGTAAGCCATCCATGCGAAGGGCTTCACTTTGCAGGAAGCTGAAATAGCTAAAAAAAATTGCCATTGCTTTTGCTTTAGAAATAAGAGAGCATCATGATACCCAAGAGATTTTCTCCTACAGACACGAAGAGAAATAAAATGGATTTGGGGGGTTAGGGATAGGGATTGGAGCTTTGATTTGGGTTTGGGGATTTGGGGATGGAGCTTCGGTTTGAGAGTTCTGGTTTTTATGTTTGGGTTTTGGGTTTTACTTAGGGAAGTCACATTTCACTGAATCAGAGGGGATAAAGCTGTATTTGGTGATGACATGGAGCTGATTTGGCACTCCACTTACCACTTGGACGGAGTTAACTGGCCAACTCATTTTTCCATCTGTCACTTTAGCATCTTTTGAAACACCAGAGTAATGGAGACTAACAGATTAAAGTTCAATGGCTAATGAGATAACTTTGAAATTTCGGTGAATAAGTCGTGACATGATACACAGTTCGGTGGCTATTGAAACATTTAACTCAAAATTCCCCCCTCCAAAATAAAAAAACACCAACTTTGACAATTAGAAATATCACAATGATATAATTCCCATTTTTATATTATTTAGCTGAATTAGATTTTTATTGATAAGAATAAAGAGTTTAGCTAAATTTCAGGAGGAAATTGTTAAAAAGTATGATTTGTAAAAAGAGGGGGCCCAAATTTTTGTAATCATTAGTGAGGCCACTAAAGGGCAACTCCAATGCCAACACCGTTGCACCGAATTGTCCATTTTTTAGTGCAAAGTTGCTCTAATGCAACACCAAACTTTGCATCATTTTGTACCTGTTTGCGAAATTATTTCTTTCAATTTAAAATCCACCGCAAGTGTACGATTCGTTAACAAGTAGTAAAATGGACTATGAGTCCAAGTATCGATCCCACAAGGATTGAAATAGTTTAAATCAATCTATTATGGCCTTAACCGAAACACGAAAGTAAGATTTATGTTTTGTGATTTAACTAAGGAAGATGTGAACTATGATGCAATTATGAGTGAGGAACTTATATTAAATGCAAAATGATATGGATGCAATCTACGAGAATTTATGAAATTAATGAACTTACTAACGCACTGGGATCACAAATCCCCAAACAACACCTGTTCAACTTTTAACTATGCAAATTTGACACATATTCCCACAATTGATGAATTAATATTCCTATTTTAATTTAGCACTCTCTCTAGAGCAATGCCAAATCTACCCCAATATGTGATTCGACTATATCTCTATGACGAATACTAACATACATGAATGTATTATGATTTCATGAATATTCAACAATTCACACAAGGCATAGATGTATATTTTTGTCCCCTATAGAATCCTATGATAATTTTTACTATGTCGAGCCTATTTTTCTTCTTTCGAATGCATAAAATAGGCCACCAAAATCATATAATTACGTGTACAATAATAATATGAAAATAAAAACGTATAAATCATTCAATTCCGGACCATGCGTTTAAATATGTCAAATCTCCAAATCAAAAATCAATAGTATTGCAAGGTTCATCGATTTCCTAGCAATAAAAATTCTAGCCTAACATGCTAAAACGAAGAAAATACAAAAATAGTTGAAGAAACGTCATCACCTGAATCAAGTTTCAATCAAATATTCAATTGGCGCGATATTTTCCTCTTGTTCTCTCTTCGTTTTCTCCTTCAAAATCTCCCTTTTTCTTGTAAAAATGACGTCCCCTTCATTCTGGACGTCTTTTCGTATTTATATCGCGTGAAAATTTTATTACCAAAAGAGTTTCAATCGTACAAGGAAAGTAAAATTTTCTCTCCGAAAAACTACCATGCGATCGCATGGCTTTAATCCGTGCGGCCGCATGGTTATACCATGCTACGTTCAAAATTTCCTGCCCTCATTTGTGCGGCCGCACGAGAGATCTATCATGTGGCCGCATGGTAGATTCTCACTTTCATTTTCTCCAATTTGGTCCCTCTACTTGAATCTTTCACTTATTGGCATCTTTTCTTCATTCTTTCCATTCCATCATCCCAAGATATCATCAATTGGCATTTGGCTTAATCAATGTCTTGATTTGTTCATCGGGTCAACTTTTGGATAATTGTACCTTGATCCTTGAACTTTTACTTTTCGTCATTTTAGTCCTTTTTCGCGTCTTTCTCTTGAATTTCACCATGTTCATCGGTGTTCCCTACAATTCACAAATGTAACGAGATTAAGTCACAATTCAATCATTTTACTCGTAATTAAGTTATGTTCGTGACCTAAATAAATGTGCAAAAACACACTTATCAATACCAAAATGGTACAAAGTGTATAAAGTCTCTTTTGCCCTTTTTTATCCTTTCTCAAATAAAATTGTTAATGGTATTTATGTTATTTGTGCTATATATTTTTTAATACAATAAATTTTATTATTATTAATATTAATATTATTATTTACGTTTAAAATAAATTTTAAATTTAAAAAATAATAATTAATAAAATAATTAAAAGAAGAAAAAAATTTAAAATATAACAAACACGATGATTTATTAAAGTTAACACAAAATATATTAAATAACGACATACATACGATAATCTAATTTTATTTAAACAAAACGATACATTATAAAGAAATTATTTAACGTAATTATTTTGTAACACATAAAGAAAATATTTAACATAATTATTTCGTAATACATAAAGAAAGTAAACAACGACATACAGAAAGAAATTATTTTACGTAATACATACGATTTTTATATTTATTAATGAATTTAATCTTTTTCATAATTTAACGTATTATTTATTTAGTAATTTATGTATTTATAAAATAATTAAATAAATAATATTTCAAATACATAAATTATAAAGAATAAAAAAAGGGGAAGAAAATGGTTAACACTGTTCATTTGGTGTAGCTTTTGGTGTAATAGTTGGAGATGAATTTAAGTGTAGTTAAAAATTTGGTGCAAAATGGTGCAAAATTTAATGTAGCGCTAGAGATGGCCTAAGAGAACGTGCTATAACAGTCATCGGACACCAATTTGATTATTTA